ATTCTTGTGATGAATGAATGGGGAAAAATAAAATACCGAGACCCAGGATTTTGGATTATTCTTATATTAATAATGCATTTGGATTGGGGAATAGTTAACAGATGTTTTGAAATTTAAGTCCTTATCTGCTTTTCAGAAGTCCATGGTGGCTCATATTATTAAGGTTACATTGTGTAACTTTTCTGGTGGAGGAGCCGTCAAATGCTTTTTTCCGTAGATATGTTATAGCTTTGTCTGGAATGTTTTGCAGTATGGCATTAAACCTTTTGATCATCATGATGACCAAACCAGGCCAAGTTACAGGTCACGTTCCAAATAGAAAGTGAACATGGGGATGGTTCCAGTATCCTGTCGATCTGAGCTCCCGAGGCAGAAGTAGAGTAACAAGTCACATTTTAAAAGTGTATTGGTTTTATTGTATGTTTTGACCAGTTAAGCAACAGCATGTCTGTGTTAGATTTGCGGCAGAATACCTACGTAGATGATTGAATAGTTTGGATTTAATATTTGATTTTATCGTTATCATTTTCATTACATCGTATTTTATTTTGTTTCCATGTGTAGAAAATGTTGTAACTTTGTTTAGAAAGAAAATATCACTATATTATAATAGGAAATTCACACTGTGGCCTTTGATATTTTTTAATATAAAGATTTTGGTGTTTCCAGTAATGTTTCTCTTTTATAGTGGGAGCCTTATCTGATAGAAGTCCAGTCGAAATGAGCTCCTCTACCCAAATTCATCTAAATGAGTGAATAATGGTGATTCTTCAGTGGGAGTTAGTCAGAGCCCTATTTTGAGTAGAATATGACTGCCCAAATTAACTACCTACACATATTCATGTTAATGAGTTCAAATTGTACATAACTAAGGTATAAAGTGTGATCACCGTGTGCAACAGCATCCAACCTGTCTCTAATCCAAAGAAATATGTTGTCAAACTGGGGAGGTTCGCTTTAATGGCTCTATACAACTGTACACAGAGAAAATGTAAAGTAGCTAATTTCGACGCGGAAGCCCATTTCAACAGAACACCAGCTCCTGCAACTCCAGTTGACTTAACATTGAGAAATTGTCACAGCTTTCTTTGTTACTGCTGCAGTGAGTCTCATCATTATGGTCTTAAAATGTTTGTATTAGCTCACTAACATGATCCTGGTGTTTTATTTTGCTATTTTGTCTCTGTTTTGCTCCAAATTTGCTCCTATAACTTCATTTGACTGAAGTCCTAAGTCCACTTCTTTATACAGTTTATGGTTGGTCCCTATAAAAGACCTATTGCACGCTGTGGTATTATTAGTATAATCATGTTCCATTTAATTGTCCAGCATTACACCGCCCTTCTTCTTCCTTCATTATAACTCATTCACCGCATTAGAATAGCTTTATCAGCGACTTCTAACCTTCACAATTAGCTACAGTTAGCCTCTTGGTGCCACGCTACAAAACTGTCTTCTTCTTTCTGCACAAAGTTCCGTTCAGTCCCCTCACGCTTCTTTTGTCTGAGCTTTTTTGTCTGTGGAACATTTTAAATCCTCCTTTATTCCTGTAGAAAGAGTTCTGAATAGCTTTGACTGTTCTTGGCGTTTCGTATTTGTTCCTCTTGCAGTCCTCGGGGAGTTGAACAGTTGTTGTGTTGATGTGACTGTCACCGCACTGCGCCAATTTCTCCCATTCAAGCAGCAGGTTTGTAAAAATACCATCATAGCAGATAATGGGGAGTGTTTTTGGTTGAGAATACGTCAAGAGACACAAGGCTGGCAGCTATAGAGAGAATAAAGTGTGTTATAAAGCGTGTTAAGAATGGAGGAGCTGATTTGAAATCCTAAGGGTTCATTTTTTCATTGTCTTTTTGCAACGTTTTCACCAATTAAGTATTAAACACCAGTGTGGTTTCTTCAAGGGAGTCAGAAGTAATAGATTTAAAAAGACAGTGAAAGGAGTTAGAGTAAGTTATAATGACTGTCCTATATACTATTTATGAAGCAATATGAGGGGAAATAGTTTAAAATTGGCTTGCTGTAGGTTATAGGACTGGCAAAAGTATCGAAAGTCAGATAATTAATACTAAAAACTGTTTCCAACTACTAGATACTAGAGCTGGGTGACCTGTCCAAAAAACTCTAGGCAAACTGGATGGTTATGATTTTGATCAAAGTTAGAGCTGAGTCATTGTTGGTCTTTCAAATGCAGAAAGCTCTTAACATTTTCATTCTTAGTATTAGCTGTTATTTAAGAAATTGTAAACTGCCTTCAGTTACATTTGTATAATTGTAATTGCACAAAAGCTCTGTTTTGCAAGTAAGGAAGCCAGGAGTAAATCATTCATAATAATCCTCAATTTCACAATTTCGTAAAAAATCTCTATTAAAAACACAAATTAATCAAATTAATTTGATTAATTGCCCACCCTACTAGATACTCATTTCAACAAGACACCCATGGATCACTATGGAATCTATAAGTGAGGGATTACACAGATAAGGTCACATAGAAATAGAAAAGAAAGTGCTGCAATCTAACATTGAAAATCACATTCTATTGTCTAAAGAAAGAGAGTTTTAATTCTCATTGTGATATTGGAATCTGTATTGACTATCGAGTCTATTCCTTTGTATCAAAAGTGAGTTTGAAATGTCAGTATTGTGACAACACTAACAGGTTATATAACAAGTCAAGCCAAAGCAGCAAAGTTTTATTAAGGTTATAGTTAACTGTGTCCATAAACACTGTTTAAACTTGGCTACTATAGGCTCCAACAACAATCTTCTTGTTCCACCTTGTGATGTCAGGTGGTAATACAGAAAGTTCTCCACTATGTTTTTAAATTCCATACACCTTGAATCATTTTGGACAATCTCATCTCTGGAATTGACACTCTCTGTAGAACTAAAAGTAAAAGGTAGCTGTTGACTGGAAAACTACCACTTCATGTCATCACAAGGTGGAACAGAGCATTTTGATCTTTGGAGATGTAGACAGACTAATAATGCAGAACATGTGTGAATGAAACAAAACACAACTCCAGGTGTGTTTTTGAGGAAGTAACAACATTATAACATGACTTAAAGCTCAAAAGAGTCAATTTTGTGTAATATAGGACCTTTAAAAGTGAACCAAATGCACATATGGAAAGTAAAGTGATAAAAATGTTAACTTGCAGCGTAAGATAAAAGTGCTGAGTCAGTCCTGTTTTAAAAATGAAGTTTCATCTTTTGCACTTTATTCAGGATGTTGCCACGGGCGACCCCATTAAAGTTCTATACAGACAACACAGCCAATTTCAAGACTCCCAAAAGGAGAGCATTGTTGATTAGGCGCACATGGACATTTTTACACCAGACTCTTATTTGGCCTGAAGGAAGGCTATCCCCAGCTCGTCTAAGTGGAAATGTTGTTCTTTTGGTTATAATTCCACAGTATGGCATAAAATGTATCTAATACTCCATGAAGAATGTTCCGAAGTATACTTTTAACTTTCTGTTTTCACGCAGTTGACTTTTCACTTTGAGTAGCCTGTATTTGCTAAAGGGCCTGGTCTGGTCACTTTTCTGTCCATTTAAACTTATAGAAAGACAGATTTTAAGGTCATATATTGTTAGGGATGCACCGATATGATGGTATGGTATTGAATATTGGTGCCGATACTGAAAAATTTGCTGGATCTGGCATTAGTCCCATGATATTAGTTGAATCAGTATGTTGATTGTGACTTTTATTGGTTATAATGAGACAATTTACTGGCTAACATTGTCCTACTGTGTCATAATATTTGAACTTTTATGCCTGCAAAGCTGTTCAGTAGTTACTTGATGGATAAAAAACACATTTGGATAAATTTGGATAAAAAGTTAGCTGTCTTTTGATTTGAAATAGACAATATTTTTCAGTTCCGGGGAGACAGCAAAAGCCAAATGATCAAAATCGCAACTGAAAAGGTTAGATCGGTGCATCCCTATATATTATGTTAAATTAAGTAATGCTAAACACTAGGGATGTAACAGTAACTGAAATATCATGATATCATATCATCAAAGTTCTCACAATAATATTGAATTACAAGTCTCTTTGCTTAAATTAAGAGTTATGGTGCAGCATTATCTTAAAAAGGACAGTGTGGACTACATAGACCATGCTTCTTTGCTGCATTTCAGTGTAGCCTATAATAGATAATAGCAATAACAGTTTTAAGCACTTTTAAATCTTAGTTCTTTGGAATAAGTCTTGTCAAGGAATTTAAAGAGGAAAAAAGTAGCATATTCAGTTTTGTTAGCTTCCACAAAATATCACGATAAATGTCGTACTGTGAGATGTATATCGTGAAAATATCGTACCGAGAGATTTGGATATTGTTACATCATGAACCTCCCCATCATATTGTGAACTTCCCCATGATATCACAATAAATATCATACCGTGAGGTTCATACCGTGACGATATCGTATCGTGAAATTTGGATATCGTTATACCCCTATTAAACACTCAGTTTCTTCTTATGACATCATTAGGAGATAATCCACACCATGCTCCTCTATTTTTTCAAAGTCTGTACTCCTTCACCAGACTTATTGAGACCATTTCAACTCTCAAATTCCCTTCTTTGTTATGCATCTCATCTTTGAAGCCAGCAGCTATTGTTTTTGGCATAATTTAAACTTCAAAAAGATGTCATTATCATTTTGACCATTAACAAAAATATCTGCTACGTTTTCTCCCCGTTTGACCCATACTCTCTGTTCTTCTTCCTTTTATTCTATAATTGCATCGCTTCTGTGGTGTTGTCGGCAGGATTTCGATCTCTGTCAGCTTTGTGAATGATTTGCTGTGGAACTGTCAGACGGTGGAGAGGGAGGGCAAACTCGCTCCTTTATAATGTCTGACAGCACCAATGAGGCAGCTTATCCACCCATACACTCCCTATGCAACTTTTCTGTATACTGGGATCATTTCTGAGCCTGCCTGATCCCTAACTTTTTGTATTCAATGTGTGTCTTTCTAGGGAGTGTTTTTACAAGATTCTGAACCAGATTTGGCGAGGATTTGAGGAGACAAAAGCACAGAAGTTACTTAAACGACAGTAATACAGGTAATTTGACATTTCACAGATGCTTATCATGGCTGAAATGTAGCAAACATACCAAAAGCGTGTCTGAAATGTTCTAGCCTCTTTCGAGACATCTGTAGTTGGCTCAGATGCTTAAATTCAGCCTGGGATAAGTAGTTTTGACAGTAATGCCTTTCACAGCACAGATGGAATCCACAGTAGTTAAGCCAATCTGTTTGTATTTTTTACGCAATCCATAGTAGTGCTTGTTAGGGATGTAACAATACCCAAATCTCACGGTATGATATCATGATATTTATTGTGATATTTTGGCAGATATAATTGTAGATGGAACACTTTTTTGCTTTTAAAATACCTCGACAAGATTTTGGTGTGAATTATTACTGTCATAATCCCAACAATTCAAGTAAAAATCATATCTCTTCATGTTGTCTGCACTGAAATTAATCATGGGATACGTAGTTCCCGACGTTTATAAGCTGTTGCTACTATAAAACCAATAAAAACATGCATTTAAGCAAAGAAACTTGTAATTCGATATATATTGTGACTGCCCACGATGTCATTGTGAGACTTTTGACGGTACGATATCACGATATTTCAATTATTGTTATATCCCTAGTGCTTGTTTGATTTCCTAATAAGAAAAAGTTTCATAAAAGGCTATTGGCAATATACTGTATGTAATATCTGGATTGAATCAAGTCTTTTTCAGTGGCGTATGTGAAACAAAGGAGCTCACTGGTCACATATCATTTACAAATAAAATCACATTTCACTCACCTCAGATTAAAGATGCACTGTGTAACTTTTCTGGTGGAGGGTCTGCCACCTGCGTGTCTCCATGGAGATATTATGGTTTGCCTTGATTCACTTGAGTATGGAAATTAACTTGGTAATCACAATGGAGACAGTTCAGTGGTCAGATCTATGGACTTGGTAAGAATTCATGTTTTTAACCCTCTCCAGGCAGGCGTTGCAGATTTGCAACAGCTAAATGCCAATTACCTACTTACTGCAAATCCATATTTTATGAGCTTTTTTTACTCAGGAGCCTTTTCTCCCATCCATGCTGATAAACGTGGGCGATGTAGACTGTGCAAGAATGACTACACACAAACGGCCTGCCAGAAGTACCAAAGTACTTTTGTTGTTTACAGAGGATAAAAAAGTCAGGATTGTATATTACTACCCCATATGATAATTTTCCCCAAATATCAGATTTTTCCTGATACTAAAAATTTATTTGAGCCTGAGAGGGCATTTTTGAGCTATAAAACACCTGTACTTGAACAAATGCAGGAGAGATATGCTTAATGCCCTACTGTGGAACATTCCAGACAAAGAAATAACATCTCAGGGGACAGTAGCTCAGTTGGTAGAGCTTTTGTCCTCTAATCTGAAGGTTGGCGGTTTGAATCCTGCTCTCGAGCGGTCAGATCCACTGACCCACAAGTTGGCGATGCAATTTTAGCTCCCACTGATGAATGCTGTTGTTGTGTCTTTGAGCAAGACACTTAACCTACCTCGACCCCAGTGTCTGCGTACACTGGTGTATGAATGTGTGTGTGAATGGGTAAGTGGCTTGTTGTAAAGTGCTTTGAGTGCCTTGAAGGTGGAAAAGCGCTGTATACAAATATGAACATTTACCATCTCCATGGAGACAAGTAACTGACCCTCCACCTTAGACATTATATAATGCAACTTTAACAGAGGTTAGTGCTTCAATCAATCTGCAATGATTTTTCAGTCCCCTGTGCCATTCGTGAACCATTTGTGTCTCTGATTGGCTAATCCACCTGTCAATCACGCCCTTCTGAACTCACGGAGGTTCACCTTTGACAAGACTCACATCTTCATAAAGTATTAAAGAAGTGTGTATTCTGGATCGAAGGCAGAAAATACATATAGTAATTGAAAAAGCTCTACCACAGTCCCAGTAAATTAAACAGTAATAAGAAGCCTACTGTTTATGTATTTGTTTGCTCTTGTTATAATTGTAATATTTTAGTCCGCTGCAGAAGTTGTAATGGGACGGTGAGCTTTGTTTGAATGTTAATAAGTTCTGTGTTTTGTTACATCTTAATCCATTGTCCTTGTGTGACCAGTGAGTAGTGAATACAAACAAGAAGCTGGAGCACTTTAACTATGATGCAACATTAGCCACCTAGCTTTGTAGCAACTCATAAATGTCAGAGGGTCCATATTACGCTTTTTTCTCACAAATCCTGCACATTTAGGGGTTTTTTCATTGTGTTTTGCGTAGAAAAAGTTATTAAGTTTTTAATTTTTAAAGTTCATCTGGTGACTGTTTTCAGGGATCAAGGCACTGTCTATATTTTTATAGAGTATGCTCTCAGTGTCTCATAGTTAATGGTTAAATCGTCATAATCCATTCAAAAATTCATAACTAATCATTTACTTAAAGGGTTCATATTACACAATTTTGGATTTAGTTTATAATGTTGTTTCCTCATCACGAACATACCTGGATCTGTGTTTTGTTTCTAAAGCTATTCAAGAAAGGTTCATTTCTGTCCTGCCAGTGTGACTTTTTTAGTGTCAATGCCTGCTCAAATGAGTATCTAGTTTCGATACTAGTTTTAGTATCTGGTTTTTGATACTCTTGACAACCCTAGTCCTAAGCCATGCCGCCCTACATTAAATATTAAAGTACATTTCTCAATATTAGCTATGATGACTCAATTACATAAAGTTATAATGTATAATGAACCAAGCCAAGTGTAGTAAACAGTTTGTCCCATGAGAGAACAGGACGTGCGGACACAGCAGAGGAGGCAGTCACATGTCCCAATCAGTGATGGATGAAATACTCAGTCTTGCTACATTAGAGATACAGAGGCAAAAAGTTACTGAAGTAAAAGTATCACATGAAGAAATCAACTTAAGTAAAAGTATTGATTCACCAGTTTCAAATGTACTTAAAGAGTGTAATGGTGTCATTATGGATCAATATCTTGCTGAAAGCCAAAGTTTAAACTCAAAAGGATTAGTCAGGATATTACCACAAACATGGTAAAAATAACCCCTAAAATCATATGAAAGGTGCTTTTTACTTTTCAGTTCAGTTCAGAAATGTAGTGGAGTAGAAAGTACACATGCATGCTCTGAAGTAACAGTAACAAGTATCCACTGGTCCCAATGCAGAAAGTACATGGTGGACAGTGGACATGTCAGAGGGTTTGGGTTAAAAACAGTGTTCTAAAAATACTGGACTAGAACAGAACATCTCCTTACACATATACACAGCTGCAGGTCACCTCTGTGTGAGTACAGTTAGTTACTTTAGTTAAGTTGAAGCCATTTCTGTAAACATAGACTTATAAGTCATCAATAATAATTGCAATTGCAAAAATAAATCACAGATCTAATCTTCCGACTACAGTACGGCACAGTAGGGTTATGAAATTAATTTCAAATGGTCAGTTATAAGATATTGGAGAAGTCTCCAGCCATCCTCTGTCAGTAAACATGGATCAGAAAACAAGACTATGAATCATATAATGATATAATGATATAAGTCAATACTTCCGCTCTCGAATGATTGTGATTCAAATTATGTAATATATGTTTTATTATATAATTATAACAATTAATGTAATTTAAATGATATAATTGTTGCTACTTTGATCTTTCTTCTTCATAATGAGGCTGTCTTAATGTGTTCTAAGCATTTTAGTAAAGACTATTGACAGGGTGGTTCTGGTCACCTGTAAGAGCTGCTGAGCCTGTCTCTGCTCTTATGTAACTGTCAGCTCTGTGTTTGTCATGGTTCAATCCTCCATGACCAGCAGGCTCCAGTCTAGTCTCAAAACACCACATTTCTCTCTTGTTTTTATTATTAATGTTTTCGGCCCTCTTTGTGACCCAATCTTTTCTCTAGACCATCTGACCAATGATTACGCTTGTCAAAAGTGTTGAAAATCAGATACTAATCAAAATTAAAACTAATGTTGAAACTAGATACTCATTTGAGCAAGTATCGATACTGAAAAGGTCACGTATATTAAGCTATTTTTTATGTGTTATGTGTGGAACAGAGCATTTTGAGCCGCACAGATGTGGACAGAGTAATAATAAAAGTTACTCAAAAAATGTGTGGATGAAACAAAACACAACTCCAGGTATGTTTTTGTGACATTATAACATGTTTTAAAGCTCACAAGAGTCAGTTTTGCGTTTTATAAGACCTTTAAAGTAGTTTAAGCAGCCTGAATAATGTATGAGCCCTTTAAGGTTTCTTTTTAAAAGGATAAACCAAATGATGACAGGTGAAGACTTTTTTATAAATCTGCAGCTCCTTCTTTACCTGTGAAGTGTGGCTTTAAACCACCTCTAAATGCATATGGAATGTGACGTATGTAAACACCTCTGCCAAGTCTGTGTCTGTGGAAAAGATGATTGGATATTTATTGGGGATGTAACAGATATCCAAATCTCTCTGTTAGATATTTTCATGATATGCGTCTCACGGATAATTATTTATTGTGATATTTTATGGAGGCTAACAAAACTGTGGATATGATGCTTTTTCTTTTTAAAATGTATTGACACAACTTTGGTTTTGTCATAATCTGAAGATGTAAAATTAAAAAACACTTATTTCTTCATAGTTGCAGTATGCGTTGAAACAGGACAAAGGATCAGGGTCAGTGTAGTTCTCTCTGGGTTTTTTTTTAGCTGTTGCTGCACCATAATTATTAATTTAAGCAAATAGACTTGTGATTTGATATATTGTGATGGCTCTTGCTATTACTGTGAGACTTTTCACGATACGATATCACAGTATTTCTATTATTATTACATCCCTAATATTTATGCACGAGTAGTTTTAGTTAAAGCAGCACTGTGTAACTTTTTGGAGGAGAGTCCACTGCCTGCTTGTCTCCATGGATATGTTAACGCTTTGCCCTTCAATGTTCAACAGTAAGGCATTAAATATTTAGCTTGAATTTTTTCCATTATAGGTGTTTCTATTGGTCAATACCTTGAAAACATGC